AGAATTTGAATATAAATTTGTTTTTTCAAATTCTTGCCATGAGAGAGGCAAGAAGGGAAATAAAATGAAGACCTGAGAACCTTCCAGAATCTGTGTGTTATCTGTGCTGAGTTTGCTGCAGGTGGGGACAGTTAAAGGCCCTGAGGAGCTGAGTGTGCCCAGTCGGTGTGCAGTCCATCATGGACTTTCTGTGGTCACTACTCAGCAGGGTTATTCTCACATTCCTTAATGTCCTTGTCCCTTCAGTAGAACCTTGTCCTAGCAGGACCTGTGATCATAGGGGCTGACACATGGCCGAGGGTGGGTCCTGCACACAGAGGTAGAATTTTCACACTGTCCAGGTCTTGCTCTCCTTCTACAGCTCTTTCATAGACAGCATTTTTTATCTTTTCCCCAACCTTTTCATTATTTTATTTTAAATTTATTTTTAATTTTTATGGATACAGAATAGTTGTCTATAATTGTGGGGTACATGTGATATTTTGATATAAGTATGTAATGTATAATGATCCAATCTGGGTAATTAGGATATCCATCACCTCAAACATTTATCATTTGTTTTTGTAGGGAACGTTCTAAATTAGACTTAATCTTCTCATTATTTTGAAATATATAATAAATCATTGTGTTAAAAAAAGTTTTTTTTTTTTTTTTTTTTTGTGACAGGTTCTCACTTTGCATAGGCTAGAGTGTAGTGGTATTGTCATTGCTCACCGCAACCTCAAACTTTGGTGCTCAAACATACCTCTTGCCTACTCCCAGAGTAGTTTAGATTACAGATGCTAATGCCATGCTCACCTAACTTTTTGAAAACTTGTTTGTAGAGATGGGGCCTCACTCTTGCCCTGGCTGGTCTTGAACTCATGACCTAAGACAATTCTGCTACAGGCCCATCCAGCCTAGTCATGGCTGTCATTCTATTGTGCTACTGAACATTGGGTCTCATTTCTGGCATCTAACTGTGCTTTTGTACCCATTAACCAATTCCTCTTCAGTTCACCCTGCACAGAACCCTCCCCACCCTCTAGTAACCACAATCGTGCTTGTTACCTCCACATAATCAGTTTTTATAGCTCTCGATTGCCAGAGAACATAACTTTTGTCTTCGGTGCCCTGCTTATTGCGCTTAATATAACATCCTCCAGTTCTATACATGTTGTTGTCCCCAACTTTTTGAAAGGAACCAGATTCTGGAATTAGCAGAGAGGAGGGATCCCGTCACTTCTCATTTTAGGTAAATTTTCTCTTCTGCTCTGTTCCCTCTACCCTCTCTGCCTTTCTAGTAATCTTAGCACTGGCTCCTTTCCAAACTCATGGATTTATAAAGAAGGCTTTAAGTTAGATTTATACTTGTTTGCAAAATTGGACCCATTGTCAGGGATTGTGTTTTTCCAAGGAGAGAAATACCACTGTGTGCCGTGCAGTGTGCAGGAAGGTCAGTGTGGAAGGAGGGTGAGGGAGGGCACCCAACAGCACTGGGGAGAACAGCACAGGTGGCATCAATGTTAGTGTGAGAAGTTTGTCAGCCAGATGTAGGACAGAGTAAATTTGCTTCTGGGAAACATCACTGAAGTAAAACCAGAAAAATTGCCAGCTTTCTGGAGCATGTGTTCTAGTGGGAAGAGACAGACTATATTCTGTGAGCAGAGCAAGTAAGAAAAGCGTTTATGTTAGAAGATGGTCAGTGCTACCAGGAGCATGACCCAGAGGGTCTGTGGGACAGGGATGGTGGTTATTGTGCTGAGTGGTCAGCATAGGTCTTGTTGCAAAGGTGATCTTTGAGGAAAGATTTCAGGGACATAATGAGTTATCAATAAGGATGTCTGGGGAAGTACTTTCCAGGCAGGGGGAACCTCCAGCTACAATGGCACTGGAGCAGGAAAGTGTCTGTGTTCTAGGAAGAGCAGGAGGCCAGAAGGGCTGGACAGAGAGTCACCATGATGAGGTGACTGGAGCAGATGGAATAGGGGCTAGAACAGGTAGGCCTGGAGGGTGTGGAAAGGGTGTGACCTTTGCTCTGATTGAGATGGGGAGTTAGAGGATGGTTTTGAGCAAAGAGGGACATGGCAGGACTTCTCCTTTAACAGGGTCTCTCTGACTGCTATGCTGAGAACTGAACTGAGAGGTAGGGGGCAATGGAGCAGCAGGGAAATAGCAGGGAAGGAGGGCAGGATTCCAGACTGCAGATCCCAGTTTGAACAGTGGGAATCAAGGGAAGGGATGGGTTTTGGATACGTTTTGAAGATGGACTTTACAGCATCTTCTAAGGCATCTGGGATGTGAGGAAGGGGAGTCCAGGAGGACACACACAGCTGTGGGCTATGTGAGGAGAAGGATGGAAGTGCCATCAGTGGAGATGGGGACAACTCTGGCAGGGGTGTGTTTGAGGAAAGGGCATCCCAGGCATTCAGTGGAGGAGGTGTCCACTTGGAGTGAAGGGGAGGAAACTGGGGAGGCATCTGGTCAGACATATCTGGAGTTTAGGAGAAAAGCCTGGGCTGGAAAAATAGATTTTGGCGGGGGGGTGTGGTAACACCATCTAATTGATATTTAAAGCCTCAAGCCTGGGTGAGGGCACAGGAGAGTGACTGGTGCTGTAGAAGAGAGTATGAGGTAGGATAAACCCTGGACATGCAGGGCTGAGGATGTGATCCGACCACATGCCCAGAGCAGACTGTACAGTTCTGACACCACATCCAGAAGGCATGACACCATGTAGTCCCAGGATTTACTCTGTGTGGGAATCACCTGGACGTGGTGGTGAGACACAGGAGTTGAGCATGAGACCCTGGGGTTCACGACAAAGATGGTGCTGAAGCTCCTGGTCTTCAGATCACACTTTAGTCGCAAAATTGCAGATCAGGATCCCCATGTGCGTGTGCATCAGCCTCATATGTATGGCTTGTAAAATAAGTCCTTGGTCTTGTGTGTAATACTCTGAGGGTGGGGAGAGGCCTGAGTATTTTCTAAGCACCACCAGCAATCCTGTTTCTCAGCCAGAGTGGGAAGCCCTGAGGCCAGTGATCAGAGAGTAATCAGGGTGGATCTTCAAACCTCTTTTAAATAACCTTTTATCCTTCAGAATGAAAAGAAGAACATATATCATTAATTATGAGACTTGATTTTGGGAGATTCATATATTCTATGTACTACAGGCTAGGGCCAGGCAGAGGATTCTGGTAGTGACTCTCAGCTCTGCATAAAGAACATCTCTGAATGCTGTGCTCTGACACTGTTCCCCAGACTGATTTCTCACTCACTTCTTGGAGCAAACAATGGAAGCCAAATGTTTTTAATGTACACGTTAGGTATTATGTACGAGGTCTGAGAAAGGGCTTCAAGATGGTGGAATAGAGACATTTCCTCATAAGCTGCTCTCAGTAAGTTCAGGGAGGAGTCCACATTTGTATTCTCTGGGCCAGAAATGATATTGCCATGGCTCAGTGAGACAGCCTAGGACATCAGAGAAGCAGGTAGGAGGCCTGGAAAGAAAGCAGGTGCAAGGGAGTGCCATGACCCAGGACAGCCTACAGGTGGAATCCCTGGGGATTAAGTCGGCAGGAGATTCTCCTCCACCCCCCTCTGCCCCATCTCCCATTCTTCACTCCCCATCCTTCCCACCCAGTTGGGGTGGCCCAGGTAATAGACCAAAGTCCAGGAGGGCCTATCCCTCTAGGCACACGTGGTGGTGTGAAACAAAGAGGAAGTGAGGCCTCACAGGACACTGGGGTTACAGTAGCTGGCCCTTGGGCAGGGGGCTGGAGAGAGGGCATGCTGTTTATTTGACACAGAGCCAGAGGCTTGAGCCCTAGTACTTAGGGGAGTAGCACTGGGTGAGTTTAGACTGTAGCTTACATCAGAGGAAACTCTGGCTGCCAGGCATCCTGCCACCGTCAGAGAGCCATAGGAAGGGAGCAAAGATTA